AGGGACTGTATAGTGGGAAAAAGCCAATCGTAAGTGAATGACGTTTTTTAATTGACAGCTCGATCGTCGCTGCGAAATTTATTCGCGACCGCGGATCCACTCAGTCGTACATGGGAAATCGTATGTTTACTGAATCATCAATTATGTGTACAAGATTTTCACGACTCGCTGATTTAAGTGACAACTTTTTTTTTTTCCCAACTAATTTCAAAAAACGTTGAGCGAACGACACTTTAACAACAGTTTGGTTTTGCGCGACGAAAGTTTTTTTCAGAAAATAAAGAAAAAAAAATTTCACGCGTGTCAGTGTAGAATCGAGGCTAAGTATATAAGCCGTTTCGAAACTACGGAGCGTTATAATGCGAAGGTTTCAAGTCAGAGTACACGTACACACGTTTTTACTTTCACAGGAGCAAGTACATAAGCACTGAAGGCACTTGGTCGCGTTATTTCAAAAGAGTGGCACACGCGCAAAACGGCATTTAGAAAAACGTGTTCGTTTTGCGCTAAATTCATTTTCAACTATATAACGTAAAATGAATGAGGATTTGATTAGTTTTATCACTATTGATTAGCAGAACATAAGGTTACGTCCCTCAATCCGTGCTTTTCCTTCGAACAACATTAGAGTTAGGGACTCGACATTACGTAAAGAGACAATAGAGGCCATGACATTCAAGGAAAGATCGACGCGCTGAAGAAAAGATTTGGATACGTACCAAGTTTTCCGAAAAACGTCCTGTAAATTCCACCCCTCGTTTGGATCGCGGTCGGTTTGCGAAACACGTGGTATTTAAAAAAAAATAAACCTCGTCAAAGCGATCCCTGTCGTGTACTCGTTGATCGCCACTTAACTCCTCTCTGTATACACGAGCTGCGTAACTCCGTGGTAAAAACCATTCCTTTCTCCCTCGGTTCTTCCACAGCTCGTTGCCGAGCCCCGACACAATAGCCCCGACGCGTCTCTTGCGAAAAACGGAATTGGAGCGCGGAGAGAACAGCTTTCGCAACTAAATCGCGCAGACAAGCGAGCGCGCGCGTTCGTACCTCGAACAAGTATATAAATATCGATGGGGTACGTGAGAGGTAATCAGCTGTGCAACAGGCTTCGAAAAGCTTCTTTTTTTTCTTTCTTTCTTCTCTGCATTTTCACCGCTGCGCCGCACAAAAATACATATATGGATGTATTAAACGTAAAATGCACGCCGGTTGATTGATTGCGCCATTGTTTTGCGGCTCGAAGGGTCTGAAGAAAAGACAAGGGGGGGGGGGATGATTCGCTTGTTTTTCGGCTCGTTAATTGAACGAAAGCTCGCCCGGCCATGAGTTTTGGCTTTCGTTGCTGCACCGTCATCACCGCACACGCGACTGATTTTCACGAACGGAGGCTGCTGCACATACACACGTGACGAGTGAAAATTCGTTTTGCTGAGCAAAAGGGGGAGTAAACGTGTAATTAAAATTCTGCACGAACGATTATTGCATAATTTGATAAAAGGGAGCGATTCGCTTGAAAAGTGGTTGTTATTCGAGGGGGAGGGGGGGGGAGAAAAATGGGAAAAGGACAATCGCATTGATAAAAAAGGCTGTCGCTGCAGCTGTGTCGTAATGAAAAACATGTTTCTCGGTCGCGTTTACAACATAATGCGCGCTGATCGATGGCTCGGAAAAATCCTTTTAATTAAAAAATTTGCCCCGCCAGCAACGCGCTCGCGCGTGCCCGTATTATTTTTAATCAAAACCGCGATCGGAATTCGATAAGCCGAAAGGGATGGCACGGGCTTGTCTATACCCGTGTGTTCGGCAAAACATCGTTTCAGCTCGACGAGGGCAACAATAACAGCGACGATGATGATGATTAAGGGGTTACGGGGAGGGAATGTACGCTCGCGTAATTGTGCGCAAACAATCGAGAACCAAGTTCTCGATGCGCTTGGGAGTTGTGTGTGGGAGGGGGGTTTATGCATGTAGTCGCGTGTAATGAGAAAATTCATCAGACTCTCAAAGAGCTGGAACTTGACGGGGCAAAGGGGGTGCACGACAAATATTCCAAAACTCGTCTCGTAGGAACTAGGGATCGACTCTACATTATACACTCTCTAAATGGAATCGAATGAAAACAGAGCCACTTTGGGGTGAAGATGAAGTTTGCAAGAGAATGGGAGTGTTACTCTGTAAGGTAACTATATGTTTTTCACGGCTTTCCACAATTTTTTACTTCTTCAATTATACGCTGTTTGAGATTAATCTCACAGGTGCGCGCGATACTCCTATCTCTCTTTCCTCGCTCTATGTCTCACGGCTCTCGGAGCACCTTATTCTCGAGAAAGGGGAAATCAAATATCAGATATAGAGGAGTGATGAGAGATGGATAGGGATAAATATTGCACGCGCACACACGTTGGCGTATCAAGTTTTACGGCGCATTTGCTGCCGCATCAGCAGTTGATACTGCACACTCGAACTTTCGTGCGTCACAGGTGTAAATATATATGCCATTATGTATGCGGTACTCGGAACTCATTTACTCGGCCGTGTGCGATTTTAACTCTGCTCCCAGCGATAAAGTCGAGTTATCACGCCGCTGATAAATAGATCCTCGCATGTATCTGCACTTGCGAAGAGCTTCGGGAACACATTTTTATCATTCATTTGGATGGATCGTGTAACTCTCGCGGTTTTTCAAGTACAGATAAATCCTAGCACGCGAGCGAGCGGTACTTGTTTTGCGCAAAAGTACAAGGTAATGTTTTCTCCTGCCCTGCTCGCTCGAATGTAAGAAAGAAAAACAAAAGAAAAGAAGACGATGATGAGAGACTCCCCGTCACTTAGCGCGCACACACATTCACACTCAGCGACTCAGCTCGCGATGCGCAAACTCTTTAGCCATCGGAGCTCGTTTACATCGCGGGTATTATCTGCGCTCCGGCAACGATACCATATGTATATTGTACGTGTCCAATAATTGAAGCTGGAATATTGTAGTAAAACCCCCGTCGTTTTCGCGTTTGCGTAACAGCTGGCGCGCTCGTACTTACCATTACTCGTGCGTCTGTACGTCTATCTACGTGTCTGCACGACTAGATTGTACGTATCCCAAGAAAAAGAGAGAGGGATATCTCGTCTGCCTGTACGCACTTCGAGTACCTATATACTTGTAATTCATAAACTTATATGGATTTTTGGTACTTGTGTGTCATGCGGTCTACCTCCCCAAGTCCTTTATTCCGGTACTTATTTTTTCCTTTTGTACAGTACACAAATATATCAATATTATTCAATCGAATGCTAAAATTTTTCCTACTTTTTTCTTCTGTCCTCCTCTGTTTAATTTCTTATTAGAGTCGACAATGTAAACCAACGCCATCGGAACAATGTATGCTAGATTACCACACCACACTACGTAATTGTATCATACATAAAATATATCGTTTTTGTCTACCTAGGTATATCCACACACTCTTTGCACGAGATAATCATTATTAATGCCTTGTAATTTCCCTCGTCGTGTGCGCGAGTGAGGGGAAAATTTCTTGCGATCGCTTTGGTTTTTGTACACCTATATACCATATACCCTGTACTGATGTATTATGCATGTATCGAGGAAAAAAAAAATGCTTGAATGCATGTTATTTTGTAACTACGTTCAACGATCGTTAGTGTATGTTGTTTCGCATTCAGGTATTACTCTTGTAAATTAAAATTCATGCAATTCCTTTTTTGAATGCGTATTGTGTCTGTTTATGGTGGTGAAAAAAATACAACGATAAACAAAGTACAATGTTCAAAGTGCACTCTAATAATTATCGTCGATCACCGTAGGTGTATATCTTTATTCGGTACTTGGTCAAGTACAGAAAAAATGATGTCCATCGGTCTGCGTACGTATACAATTCACAGATACCCCCGATCAAATGCATCCAATATTTATTAGTTACGCTCGAGAGGAAAATCAAAGAACAGAGCGTTTCCAAAGCAAAGTTCGTCGACCCCTTGGCCCCTTTTTTTCCCCACCCTCGCTCGTTTTTTCTCGCCATCCTCTTATTCTACCTTCAAAGCGCATCAGGGAATTGTAGCCGACAAAGTTGCAGATAACAGGAAATTCCATTAGAAGCTCTTGTCGCTCGCGTTTGATCGATGAGCTCTATCGGCGTCTCCCTCGTACGTAGGTACACCTCGCGAACTTGATTAATTTATTCGCGTTTCGCATTCGTTACTATATACTAGCAGCACGGCACTGCTGTTGTGATACACCCACACACACACATACTATCCTCATCCTCCTTTACAGTGAAATTTGACGAAATTGCGACTCCATCCCCGACATAGGTACTGACGCGCATTTGTTGGTAGGTACAGTACATAGAAGCTGATGTGTGCAGGGTGCATCGATCTAGTAACCGAATTAACCCTCCTGTGACTGCTTATTGATTTCCATCTGCAAAATATGTGTGATTGTACCTCTTACTTGTTTTTTTTTGTCGCTGTTAACTCGAGTGTGACGAGTCGACAGTTTTTTTCCTGAAAAGTGAAATGCAATCTCACGAAAAAAAAAAAAAAAAAAAAAAGAAGTGAATGGGTGTAATGATACATATCACTCGATTGATTAGGTACTATTCATGCGGTAAATTAAACAAGACAAAAACATGTTTTTTACACCGCTCTGTTCGTACGGCACTTTTGTGTAAAAACAACAAAAGCCGATCCATCAGTAACAACCAACACAAAGTATCAGTTTTCCATTACCATGATTACTACTATTTTGTGAAACCTAAATAAATTAGACCCTATATGATTGATGGTAATAATATTATCATTTTTTCCTTCTTACTACTCTTGTATCTCCCAAGACATACGCTCAGCAATAAAGATCATGAGCTGCATTAACTCAAGTGCTAGCCTATACGTTACACTTTTATCACACAAGTACTCCTGCAGATAAGCGTGAAAATACTATGGTAAAATTAAAACTATTTTCTCCGTTTGATTGGCTGTTGCAGAGAAGCGAGAACCTCGACTTGTCCCTGAACGTGCCGCAACACCATCAGTCGTCGTACCACCATCACCACCATCACGACGGCTACGGCAACATGGCTGAACAGGTACTTATTTACACGTGTATAACCAACACATACACTACGAAAGAGATTTTTATTCTACTTCTCCTTCTCTTTTGTTTATCGTTGCTCGCGGATGGGCCGTATTTTTTACTTTGCCTTTCTAATACATACCTGTAGCGAGAAGGAGAAAAGTGCTGAAATCAACCAAAGGATAATAAAAGCTGTTTCGTTAATCATCGTTTGAGCGATGATTCCACTTTTTACGTCACTCCCCTTCCCAACGCCCCTTCCGACCTCATTGTTTTTGTTGGTCTATTGCACTGGCTTTTTTGATCTTGCTTTTTTTTTTTTTATACATTTTTAAAAATTTACTTTCACGCGTCTGAACGTGTATATATCATTACGAGATTATCAACTTTTTTTACATTTTTATGATTGCTGTTATTTGTTGTGCCTTTTTTGTTTTTTTTTTTTTTCAATGTTAGTACCGGGTTGCCGACCATTCGTTAAAAAGTAGGTTTCAATTACAAAATCGATTGCAAACCTAGAAATTTACAATAAAGATAATTTATACAACATAAAATAATTAACTTTTAACATAACTTTAACTTCTTTGTTAGTTGAATGATTAGCACATCTGTTTTACAACAATTAATTCTGCTCACTGACAAATAATGTTTTACTCGATATTTTGGTCCGTTTTAATTTCAGTGAGGATAATCAGGAATAAAGAAGAAGTCATTTCTATTCGTTAGAAAGTTTTTAGCTTCTTAAAAAAAAAAATTTATTTTACCCAGCATCAGCAGGATACTCTAAACTTTTTGGATGCAATTGAAACTCACTTAGCACTTACATAACTTCAATGGAACGAGAAAATAGTCGTTCAAGCGTAACGACATAATAGCGACGTTTGATTCTCCGCCTTTCATTTTTCCCGCATTAAAAACTGTATAAATTCCTCATTTGTGTGTGAAACCATTAGCACGAGAAGTGCGCATTTACAGTCTATTTTCTCAGAAATAACATTTGGTAATTTTTCACTCGCACGAAAAAAAACTCGTTATTACTAATAATATCGATAAATCTGAGAACTATAGGGATATCGATTGCAACTTTTTTTTTTTTTTTTTCTTTTTTGGTCTTTTATTTGTTACCTGCACTATCGCGAAATCCCATTGGCAATGATTGATCACATCGAGCGGTATTCTCGCCGCGATAGCTCTGACGCGATTGCGAAATTTATTTTCTATAGAATCAATTCGAGGATTTATCTTCCTTTTCTTCTTCTTCTTCTTCTTCTTCTTCTTCTAGATTACTTCCAAAGATATCATTACTACGGGCGTTCTATTATTCATACGAGTGTCTGCGTGTTCGAATTTCGCTGGCGTCGATAAATCAAAAATCGTTCCTGATTGGAATACCATGAACGAACAGCCGCTGCCATTGTTCGTCGAGTCGAAAATGCCAAGTGGCACGAATTTTCGAGAAACAAGGCGATATCGTTGTTGTCGGTGATGCACATTAGGCACATGTAATATATTATATCTCTTTTAGCAAATTCTCAGAATCGCACGTGCATCTGCAGAAATCGATCGACCCGCGTGCCGTGGCGTTGAATTTCAAACGCGAGACATCGACAGATGCCGCGTATTTTATTACTGTGTGCGTACCTACTTACTCTTACATTGTTTCGTTTGAGAAAATTAATTTGACGTTTGACAGAAATATACGATTGCAACAGTAATCTCGCAGGGTACACATTGTGACTTTGATTTAGTAATTAGGTTGAAGATTAACTCTTGCTATAAACAATAATTACGAGACAATTAAAACCCTCGGACAAACCAATTGATTTATCACGACGGCCGTTGACTGTGAAAAATAAAAACAAAAACAAAAATGTACTGGCACGTTTCTTTGTGTACGTACAATCGTTTTATTTTATAATTATGAACAAAAAAAAGACAATGTAATAAGCACACTCAGAAAAAATTAGGAGTTGATTATACGACGCGTTACTATTCGTCCGTATGAAATTAGTGAAAGCGCACGTATATGCTTTCGCTCGATTAGAATTAAAAAAATGGGGTCACGGGGCGAATGAAAAAGAAAAATGATATCACAGCCAGTAAGTATATTTAATATGTGAAAGTAGATAGAAAAAATTAAGCTACACAAGACAGTCGAGACGTTAAGAATCGGTAATCGAAATATACAGTAGCAGCACTGAATACTTTTTTTATTTTTTATTGTCAACAATAGCTGCACAGTTTTTGCGTATCCGCGTAAACTTTTTTGTTTTACCATTAAATTATGCAAACGCCAGCTGCGAGCAACAGCAGCAACTACACATGGGCACAACGAACCGAGACAGCTCGATCAGTCAATGCAGCCGCTCTCCTTCTCGGATAATTGGCAATCTGCAATAAACAACTTCGCGGGCTATAATTTTCAGTATTTTAACGACCGCGGTATGTGCACACTGTAACCACTTCTTTGCTCCTTTTTTTTTGTTTTGTTTGCGTTGCCATACCATCACCTGTGTATTTATTCACCTTTCCTTCATTAGCGCTTTGCATGTTTTTTACTTATCATGTCTTATGTACAAAAACTCTGGTTTAGCGGGATGATTTGACTTTTTCTCCTGAATCCCGCTGGTACTTAAACCTCGTTAAAGTACACAATTATTGGGCTCGTTATCTCTGCATACTATGCTCTGATTATTTTTTTATTTTTTTTATTTTAATTTAAAAATTAATTTGATTTTACAAACTTTTTCGCCGCACGGAACCAAGTTCATCTGCGTTCAATTACGCCACATTGTTAAAACTTTTCGCCAACTCTCGTGGGTTGCTTTATCACGTATAAACCTCGGCGTTGTAAAGTTAAGCGCGCAGCTTCATTTACGCGCCATACATCGGCTCGCGCAACGATATCGGTTCAACGCCGTAATCACTTTGCGTCCCATCGGTCGTAACTTAATCATTAACAATGTTGTATTTTCGTGATTCACCCGTAACCCTACGCTTTTGTAACTTTACACTTGGTTTATCCCCGAAATTTCGGCTGGTTATTTTTTTTTCTTCCCTTTCAAATAACAAATTACCCGCTCATCACTCACGCACGCACTTTACCTTACGCAAAGCTGGGTTACGTCTGATTGACGTGTATCGCATACGTAACTCTGTTGTCGTCGCTCGAGCGATTGAGAAATCGTCAGCCTAGACGATTTTCATTGTTTTTTTTTTTTTCCCCAACACCTTTTTTTTTCTCCCGTTCCAGCGATGGAAGGCAAAGTATGCGCCGTTGCATCTGTCGGTGGGTGCAGTTGTGTTTATTTACGATCGCTTTGCGTTACACCGCGGCATAAATAACGGCGCGTTCAATTGAGCGTTTGTGCGTTGGTATGCATATAAGTAGGTACTTTATACGGATTTATTGTTGTTGCAGTGTACGTTTTATTGGCCGCGTTTGGATGCAAATATTTGCACTGCTGAATCCATGACCGTTTAATTGCTCTCGCAAAAAAATATGTACTGCTTTCTCTCGCCACAATTGACATTTGTTTATTAATAAATTTACGAATAAAAATCCTCTCGATTAGTCCATTGGTCAACAGGTTTTTAAATAAATGTCTGTTTGGTATAAAGCTTGACTCATAATACACGTGAGCACACATGTAGCAGTGAGAAGAAGAAAAATCCCCTTCACCTGCTCCATGTTCTCCGAGTATGAACAAGCAAGCTCGCGCGCGTACAGTGAACCGAGCTGTGCGTGTATGTATGTGTACGTATTGCCTGTCGGGCAAATGGCCGTCGTAAAGCTTACGCGAAATTAGATGAGCTTTTTTTACGCGCGCCAAGTGGAAACGACCTCGTAAAGGCCCGTCTGTGTGCTCACCTTGTATCTCTTTGTACCCATGCACATGTGTGTAAGATTGCGTGTCCTGTACGATAAAGGAAAGAAAATGGTTACCAAACTCTCCCTTGGCATAACTTACGCAGTTTCGCATACGTCGCACATAGTGCACCTTTGCGATATTTCGAGCTTACAATTAGTATAGTACAATTTCCAATAAATCACCTCTACGAATTATCTCAGCATATGTTATATATACGATTATCGCTGTTGAATAATTCACGCGATCCAAGGTACAATTTCGGTACAGCTGATGTCACCAACATTGTAAATTGTTTTACAAATATTACGATGTATATACAATTATAGCTTCAATGGAAATCGGCGAGGAAATCGGGGACTTTGTGTGCATGTGCACCTACTTTGTTCGGTAAAGAAAGAAAAAATTTACTCTCGAATCGGGTGGCGAAACGCGCAGAGTCACGAGAGTACATGTAATGCAAGCTTATGGGGTATATAATTACAGCCTGCTTCTGCAGCGGCGTAATTTATTTGCGCGACTCTTGTGATTCGATCGCGGATAAATAACATCACCGTGTAATCGTTAATAATAAATACAAATGCTCGCGCGGCTGTTGTTGCTGCTGATTGATACGTTGGTGGTGAAAGGCGCGAAATCGTCGGATAAAATTCGCGGTACGGGCATCCTTGTAAAATTGCAAAAAAAAAAAAAAAAAAAAAGAAAGAAAAATCCGTACTCGCCTATACTCCGCGAAATCGGATTTATTATTTACTTTTACCGCGTATCGCGCGAATTAATCAGGCACGCGAAAGTTTTACAATATTCCCGAAGCGCTGCTTTCTTCCCAAAGTATATTTATGGTGAAAAGCATCGCGAATATAAATCACGCGCAATTCACGTGTTCACGAGACAGAGGCTGCATTGATCTCATCATCGCTTACTCGCGTGAGTAATCGTCGAATATTTGTACACCATTGGCTTTTTTATTCTCTGCAATGACTATGTATGCGCGACTGAGGCATCGTCAAATGATATCCCCGGCCAGGCAACTGGCGTATAAATCATTGACGAGTAATTTCGAGGGCTTTGTTTACGAAATGTGCTACGTACGAGAGGTGGAGGGGATAATTTAATTTCGTTGCGAAATGGGCAGTTACCAGTG